TGCCATCCATCCATCTTGCCCTTGGCCGGCCCCTCTTCCTTTTGCCTTCCACTTTCCCCAGCATAATTGTCTTCTCTAGGCTTTGCTGTCTCCTCATGATGTGGCCAAAGTACTTCAACTTTGTCTCTAGTATCCTTCCCTCCAGTGAGCAGTCGGGCTTTATTTCCTGGAGGATGGACTGGTTGGATCTTCTCGCAGTCCAAGGCACTCTCAGAACTTTCCTCCAGCACCACAGCTCAAAAGCATCGATCTTCCTTCGCTCAGCCTTCCCGAAGGTCCAGCTCTCACAGCCATAGGTGACTACAGGGAATACCATGGCTTTGACTAGGCGGATCTTTGTTGCCAGTCTGATGTCTCTACTCTTTACTATTTTATCGAGACTGGACATTGCTCTCCTCCCAAGAAGTAAGCGTCTTCTGATTTCCTGGCCACAGTCTGCATCTGCAGTAATCTTTGCACCTAGAAATACAAAGTCTGTCACGGCCTCCACGGTTTCTCCCTCTATTTCCCAGTTGTCAATCATTCTTGTTGCCATAATCTTGGTTTTTTTGACGTTTAGCTGCAACCCGGCTTTTGCGCTTTCTTCTTTCACCTTTATTAGAAGGCTCCTCAGCTCCTCCTCGCTTTCGGCCATCAGAGTGGTGTCATCTGCATATCTGAGGTTGTTAATGTTTCTTCCAGCAATTTTTACCCCAGTCTCGCATTTGTCCAGCCCCGCACATCACATATGTTCTGCATACAAGTTGAAAGGGTTGGGTGAGAGTATACAGCCCTGCTGTACGCCTTTCCCAATCTTGAACCAGTCTGTTGTTCCATGGTCAGTTCTTACTGTTGCTACTTGGTCCTTGTACAGATTCCTCAGGAGAGAGACAAGGTGGCTTGGGATGCCCATCCCACTAAGAACTTGCCACAATTTATTATGATCCACACAGTCAAAGGCTTTAGAATAGTCAATGAAGAAGAAGTAGATGTTTTTCTGAAACTCCCTGCCTTTCTCCATTATCCAGCGGATATTGGCAATCTGGTCTCTCGTTCCTCTGCCTTTTCTAAACACAGCTTGAACATCTGGCAACTCTCGCTCCATGTATTGCTGGAGTCTTCCTTGCAGGATCTTGAGCATTACCTTACTGGCATGAGAAATAAGGGCCACTGTACGGAAGTTTGAGCAGTCTTTCGCATTTCCCTTTTTTGGTATGGGGATATAAGTTGAGTTTTTCCAGTCTGATGGCCATTCTTGTGTTTTCCATATTTGCTGGCAAATGGCATGCATCACCTTGACAGCATCATCTTTTAAGATTTTAAACAGTTCAGCTGGGATCCCATCGTCTCCTGCTGCCTTGTTGTTAGCAATGCTTCTTAAGGCCCATTCAACCTCACTCCTCAGGATGTCTGGTTCTAATTCATTCACCACACCGTCAAAACTATCCTCCATATTATTATCCTTCCTATACAGATCTTCTGTATAGTCTCGCCACCTTCTCTTGATCTCTTCAGCTTCTGTTAGGTCCCTGCCATCTTTGTTTCTTATCATACCAATTTTTGCCTGAAATTTACCACCGATGTCTCTAATTTTCTGGAAGGGGTCTCTTGTCCTTCCTATCCAATTGTCTCCTTCCATTTCCATGCATTGCTTGTTTTAAAATAGTTCCTAATTTCTTCTGGCTAACCTCTGGAATTGCGCATTTAACTGGGCATATCTCCCCTTTTCACTGTTTCCTTTTGCTTTCCTCCTTTCTTGGGCTACTTCCAGTGTCTCAGCAGACAACCATTTTGCCTTCTTGGTTTTCTTTTTCTTTGGAACGTACTTTGTTGCCGCCTCCTGAACAATGTCGCGGACTTCTGTCCATAGTTCTTCTGGGACTCTGTTTACTAAATCTAGTCCTTCAAATCTGTTCTTCACTTCCACTGTATATTCGCTAGGAATGTTAGTGAGATCATATCTAACTGGTCTGTGTATTTTCCCTGATCTCTTTAGTTTTATTCTAAATTGGGCAATAAGAAGTTCGTGATCTGAGCTACAGTCAGCCCCAGGTCTTGTTTTCACCGACTGGATGGAGGTCCGCCACCTTTGGCTGCAAAGGATGTAGTCAATCTGATTTCGGTGTTGACCATCTGGTGAGGTACATGTATAAAGCCGTCTTTTAGGTTGTTGGAAGAGAGTATTCGTTATACACAGCGAGTTTTCCTGGCAAAATTCTATCAGCCTGCATCCCGCTTCATTTTGTTCTCCCAGACCATGCTTGCCTGTGATCCCAGTTGTCATTTGACTTCCCACCTTGGCATTCCAGTCTCCTGTAATGAAAATAATGTCTCTTTTTGGTGTATTATCCAGGAGGTCCTGCAGATCCTCATAGAACTGATCTACTTCTGCTTCTTCAGCAGCTGTGGTTGGGGCGTATATTTGGATCACTGTAATGTTGAAAGGCTTTCCTTGCACTCGAATTGAGATCATTCTGTCATTTTTTGGGTTGTATCCAAGCACCGCTTTAGCGAATTTCTTATTAATTATGAAGGCTACTCCATTTCTTCGATGTTCCTCTTGTCCGCAGTAGTAGATCTGGTGGTCATCTGATGTGAAGTGGCCCATTCCAGTCCATTTCAGTTCGCTGACCCCCAGAATGTCTATCTTTAGTCTTGACATCTCACCAATAACAACATCCAATTTGCCCTGGCTCATAGATCTTACATTCCAGGTTCCTATGGTGTGTTGATCTTTAGCGCATCGGATTCGTCGTTCACCTCCAGTACCGTCGGCCGCTAGCCTTCCTTTCGGCTTTGAGCTAGCTGCGTCATCACATCTGGGGCTAGTTGAACTTATCCTCTGCTCCTCCCCAGTAGCATTTTGGCCATCTTCCGACCTGGGAGTCCCATCTTCCAATGGCATACCGACATATCTCTGGTTGTACTGGTCCATTTAGTTTTCTTGGCAAGGATACTGGAGTGGTTTGCCATTGCCTTCCCCAGGGATCACGCTTGGTCTTGTTTTTAGTAGTTGCCAATAATATTGATGGTGGGGGGGGGGGGCAATTTAATGTTGATACTAACACAAGAGGCCAAGTCCCACTTATTTGTTCCCACATATAAACATAAACCATCTTCAGACATTTCTCACAGTCACTAGATTCACACATAGAATACAAATGTTTGTAGAGAGCAGAGCTTTCAAACATAGGCAAACATTTCTTTTTTCCACAGGTGTTTGTACTGTGCACAGGTTCTGGGTGGTGGTCTGTTAAGAGCAAATGGTGTTTTGGCTACATGATATGACTCCACTTTTCACCACATGTATGTTTCCATTGCTCAAAAGAGATGTCTGAATTGGGCTATATTAACTGTATTTGCAGATGAATAGGAAACTCTGCCTTAGTTCTGCTTGACACTCTCTTATACATGCCCTAGCACAATAAGCTATGACATCACAAAATAAATGACTAAACTTAAATGTAATGTATAAATACATGCTTAGAAGGATTCTCATATTTATTTTGGTATTTATAAAGGTGAGTATTGGCTTTAGGATCCACTAAACCCATTATTTTGTACAGCCCTTAAATGTTGTGATTTCAAATATTTGTAATACAGGGGGATCTGTTGCTCTAATTTACCAGAAAATTCATTCTAACAAATCATGAACTTTCAGAAAGGAAGGAGCTACTGATTGATGAGACTGAAGTTGAATAGGATGTGTTCCTCCTGTATACAAAATGCTTATCTTCCTATTGAAATGTCGGTGTATCATACATTTTGACAATACAGCTGAATTAATTAAAACTCATTTCTCTTCAAGAAATAGATCCGCAACAAGAGAGGAACTTGCTTGTTCCACATCAAACACATACAACCATAAAGTAGTGCCATGTTAGAGATAATAAAAATAATAATAACTTTATTCTTTTGTCTCGCCACTATCTCCCCGGAGGGACTCGGGGCGGCTTACATACAACACAGGTTACATGAAAACAGAACATAAAATGGAAACAATATAAAATACAGTCAATACAATGTATGGACATATAAAATATCAACTAACACTCAGTTAAAAACAGCTCTCATCAACTGATGGCAGTAAGCTACTAGAAACGCAGTCAGGCAGTAAACAATCAAACTGGGAATGGGCTAAGTGCAAAGCTGTAGACATGAGAAAAGGGCATGGGAAAAAGTGCAAGACTGCATAACAGTTGCGTAGATAACTAGGAACTAGTAAGGTAAAGGTAAAGGGTTTCCCCTGAGATTAAGTCCAATCATGTCTGACTCTGGAGAATGGTGCTCATTTCCATTTCTAAGCCAAAGAGCCGGTGTTGTCCGTAGACACCTCCAAGTTCATGTGGCTGGCATGACTGCATGGAGCGCCGTTACTTTCCCAATGGGGTGGTACCTATTGATCTATTGTTAGCCCCAGCTTCTGCCAACATAGCAGTTCGAAAACATGAAAATGTGATTAGATTAATAGGTACCGCTTCAGCGGGAAGGTAACAGCGCTACATGGAGTCATGCCAGCCACATGGCCTTGGATGTGTCTTTGGACAATGCTGGCTCTTTGGCTTAGAAATGGAGATGAGCACCACCCCACAGAGTTGGACACAGCTAGACCTAATGTCAATGGAAACCTTACCTTTATAAGTCTTCTTCCCCTCTGCCGCCCCCCCCCCCCCCCCCAGTCACAAGCTTTAGGAAGAAAACTCCTGGCATCACATATGATTCGTCTTAAAAAGCAACCTGTTCTCAGAAACTGAAAATATTGTTCAATGTGTTATAGTAAAATTTTATTTCCTAAAACTCATAGGATAAGCAGTGGGAAGCAATCTTCATTGGAATTGTAGTTGGGAAAGGAAGAATTCACTCCCTTTCTTGTATGCTATGGTTTCAGTTTAAGATTAAAATTACCAGGACAGGTGTGATTTCTAAGGATATCTTGGGCCATGTTTTTATCCAGTAAGGAGTTGTACACTTACAGGTGCTTTCTGGTGTGTTAGCCAACTGAATAAAAAGTTTTGTGTTACCTGCTTTATTTCTTTTGTTCTCTGGGATGAATCCAGCAGTCACCATCTGTTCTAAATGATAATAATGAACTAGGCAGCAGCAGTGAAATACCTGTAAGTTTAGTTCAGATGAGTTCCATTTCAGTTTTATTTGGTTCACCAATAACCATAGCCACTAAATATAAAAATGTATATGCAGTTATATTTGCAAGGCAACAAGATAGTGTATAATTAATACAATCAGAACCATCTGTAGGTTGTTCAGCACCTGTTGTACAGAAGGAAAATCTCCTTTGACTAAAAATGCAAACAAGGCTCTCAAAGGGGGTTACAAGAGCAGAGGCAAGGAGATGAATGCATGCAAATAAACCTGCTGTTGCTGTTAAGAACAGACTCTGTATTGTGTTCTGTACTGGTTTAGCCAGTCTATGGTTTCATGGTTTTGTGCACTTTAGGCCAGGTAACTGTCATAGTTCTCAGAGGTTGTAATTATTACACCTCGTGCCTGTAGGGCATGAATGAGCACAAAGCTACTGAGGTTTAAAGCATAATAGGCAAGGAAGCTGTAAGGATCCTTACCATAAGAACCATATAAGAAGGATTTATGAAGCTGTTATCAACAACCATCAATCCAAAACTGAATTGTCTGCCAAGGCTTTGCTTCTACAGCTGGTCTATATATTTATTAACTCACTAAGCTGAATGCATCCCACCAGGAACATTTTGTGGTGCAGCCAGAGCTGAACATTATGCCCTTTATCTTCTACCTACCCAAGATCCAATCAACCACAGGATTGTCAAATCCCTGTGTTTGACTGGTAGGCTGCATTCAACTTGTTGTGTCACAAGTTCATAGATGTGCAGAGTTGGAAGAGACCCCAAGGGTCAAACAGTCCAACTCCATTCTGCCATGCAAGAATGCGTAATCAAAGCAATGCTGACAGATAGCCATCCAGCCTCTTTTTAAAAGCCTCCAGAGAAGGAGACTCCACCACACTTCAAGGCAGCATGTTCCATGGAATTCTTGCTGTCAGGAAGTTTTTCATACTGTTTAGGTCAGTGGTTCTCAACCTGTGGGCCCCCACATGTTTTGGCCTTCTACTCCCAGAAATCATAACATCTGGTAAACTGGCTGGGATTTCTGGGAGTTGTAGGCGAAAACACTTGGGGACCCACAGGTTGAGAACCACTGGTTTAGGTGGAAACTCTTTTCCTGCAATATGAATCCATTGTTTCATGCCCTAGTGTTTAGAACAGCTGAAAACAAACTTGTCCCCTCCTCAATGTGACAGCCTTTTATATATCTAAACATGGCTTTCATGTTTTCTCTCAACCTTCTCTTCTCCAGGTTATGCTGGCCTGATTTAGCAACTGTTGCTGCTGTGTTAAGAATGGTAAATCTGTAATATAGAATGTGGAAATACAGGAAAGACATTTCTTTTGGGAAAGGTTCAGTGAACCATAAAGCAAGAAATTTCCTTCCCTCCAGTATTTGTGTTGTAGTTGTTGTGTTACAGTATGCCCTTCAAGTTCACTCTGATGTAGGGTGACACTATTCTAGGGTTTTATTGCAAGATTAATTCAGAGGAGATTTGCCATTGCCTTCCTCTCAGGTGCACAGAGGGTGACTTGTTGAAGCCAGGTAGATAGCCAGTAAAATAAATGAGAAGACTCAGGGTGCAGTTATACTGCAGAATTAATGGAGTATGACACCACTTTAACTACCATGACCACTTTAACTGCCATAGCATTGAGTCATGGCAGTTTACATGGTGCCAGACTGCATTGATTCTACAGTGCAGATATTAATCTCCTTTATTTGTTGGCTGCCTGATACTGAAAAGATACATATGCAGTATTTAGCCCAATGGATCACAGGATGTGCCAGACTGGTTTAAGTATATGCACTATTAAGTAGGAAAATGCATTGTGGAAAAAGAGATGTTTTGTTGTATTGTATTCAAATACAATACAGTAAAATAATAGTGTTCAACTCCGGTACAATCAAACCTTCACAGTCACTATTATTACTACTGTTATTATTGTTATTAACTTTAATTATACCACACCTTTCCTCCAAAAGTTGGGATGAAATGTACCTAGTGATGAGTTTTACAAATTGTAGGAACTTGCTCATATTTCAACAACTGAATATTCCCTAAGAAATGAAAAAATCTATTTATATGTTTAAAGTTGGGCCAATGAGTTGTATGTAAATTCCTTTGAGAACCTAATAATAATTTGCCAGTACTCACATGAATGCTCAATCTGTTGTTAAAGTTCATTAGACAAACTATCAATAAAATACTTGAAACTTCTTTTTATTTAAGCTTTGAATGGCTGGAGTATTTCCAAGTGAGTTGCAAATGATCAGGAGATAGTTATTTTGTTGGATCCTAATAAACTTGTAAAAGTTTATTAAGAGAACTTTGCTGAACAATTTTTCCAAACTATTGCATCAGGAGTCCTTTGAAATTTTTAGTATTAAGATGATGAGTTATTAATTCCTACTGTAGATCCATGCTCCTTTAGAAGGCAAAGGTGTTTACCCAGGCGATTGCTAAGGATAGTCCACCCAGCAAGTTTGTACCACAGTGTTGTCCAAATAAACATAAAAGCACACAAAACTAGGCCGCTCATTAGTATATGTTGAACAGAGCATGTCTTTTATGCAGGTTTACCCTTGGAACAGAGTGGGAGTGTGTTTTCTTAAATTCTAAAATCAACTGCCTTTGACACTATGTCATCTGCACCCAAAAGTAGGATTTTATCTTTTCACAATTAAGAGTTTGTGTTTGAGAAGGGGGATTAAAACACAAATTTCTGCTGGGTGTGTGCACTAATAAAGCTGTTCTCAGGATCTTATTTATGTTATTTTTCCAACATGGGTATTCACCTCTGTGTAGGAAAAGGTGATACTTCAAGTAACTGACTCTGAAATTGTGCATTTACAACTTATGTGATGGAAAGGGTCAGTAAGTAAATAGCAGGGCGAGGAAGGGAGGGCAGTCTATGTAGAGACATTGCTTCTACTTTGTTTGTTGTTATAAAACTGCTGTCATTTAATATTCACTACCTGTTAGTACCATCACTGGATCCTCTTTCTGTGAAAAGGTAGAGAAGGAGTGTAGGGCTAGCATACCACAAATACTAGGAAGGAACATAAAATAAGAAGCAAACTCCTACGCCAATACTGTAGCTTGTTTGTACAAATGGAACTTACATAATGTGCTTTTGCTCTACTTACCACTATACATCAAAACATTCAGCAGCATGAAAAAATTCTCAATCTATGTTGTTAAGTAAAAGTGTGTGTTGGGGGGGGGGGAGGTGAAGGAAGAAACTCATTTATTTTGTATCACATGCTATTAATAGCTATTGTGAAGGAAATAGTTTTCCTATGGGAAAATCTCCAATGCTGAATAACCCCTTCTTTCCCACTTTCATGCCCTTTTCACTCTTTATGTACAAAACTAAAGTCGCAGTTCTAACTCATTGTTGTTCTGTCTTGTAAGATTAGCTTTCTAATTGTGTCAATTATGTGTTCCCATTAACAGGTTGAATCATACCTTAAATTATGTTAGATTTTTTTTCTTGTCCTCTTTCATCAGAATTAAGCAACTGCAGCTCTTATTAGGCTTGCTCCTTATTTTTATGTGAACCAAACGGGAAGATTTTTCTAGTGTTAAAATATGTTGAAAGGAGGAAGAAAACATGTTATGCTTTTTTCCCACTGTTTCTGTTTCATGTAAGAGTTACCTTTTCATAGGCAAGGTTTTGCGCAACACTATTCTTCTTTTGACTATTTGTCCTTCTGCTCTTGGAAAATTTAGAATCGGGATGCAAGAAGAGTAGAAATTAGGACTGCTGATATTTGTCATGTTTATTCTAACTGGAACCTAAAAAGCCAAAGCAAAAAAGAGAATGTTCTAAGTCCAAATATCATAACAAACAACATGTGTTTTTAATTGGTCAATGGGATCATTGGGTTGATGTCTGTATAACCTATTAGGCAAAGGCTGTAGTGCACCTTCTGGGTAGGATAGCCAGGCCAAGGAAGTGGGAGGCTATCAGTGCTCGGTTTCTTGTCATATCTGAAGTTTAACCAGACTACGGTAGCACTGAAGGAACAAGAAGATGGAAAATTTAACTATTGCTTCAACAGTGTTCAATCCTTTTCTCCTGCGCCTATTCCTGATATAAATATCTGATGCTCCTCCTCCCAAAGGTCTACTACACTATCACAAAATCCTCTCTATGTTACAATAATTTGCCAGAGAAAAGCAACATCACTCAGATTGCAAGAAACAAAACATGCTACTTTAAAAACTTGTTAAACACATGTAGGAAATATGCACAGTTGTATAATTATTATAAACCATTGCTATTCAAAAAGTTGTATAAAATTAGACCAACATGAAAACCTGCTAAGTTTAAATTCAGTACTATTTTAAAAACAGCATGCAATTGCCATTTCAGGCTCTCAGTGTTGGAAATACTGTATAAAGACTGTCCTGTTCCAATTCTCATCTAGCTATCTATCATATGCATTAGTATCTAAATTGCCTAAGCTGTTTATTTTGTGTGTTCAGTTTCCGCAGATTTACCCGATCAAACAGTGTTACAACAGCAGTTCAGGCAGATATGGATTTCCATGAGAACTTTGAAATGTCCATGGACCCTCAAGAAGACCTTTCATATCCTGGCCAAATGTCAAGACAGTATTCTCGAGATGCCAGCACTTCCACTGTAAGCATACAAGGCTCAGGAAACCATTATCATGCGTGCACAGTGGATGACGACTTTGATACAGAATTTGATCCTTCCATTTTACCTCCACCCGATCCCTGGATTGATTCTATAATTGAAGATCCAATTGAAGCTGTTCAAAGGTCAGTGTGTCATAGAGATGGACATTGGTTCTTGAAGCTTCTTCAGGCAGAGAGGGAACGTATGGAAGGTTGGTGTCAACAAATGGAAAGAGAAGAACGAGAAACCCACCTGCCTGATGAGAGTAAGTAATTCAGATATTTTTGCATGAGGGAATCTGTTATTTTTCCCCATCAAAGCTTAAAATGTATATATCTTGATCCTTCTTTTGCCTCTAAAGGTACATTAGGCATAATCTTCTGTATATTTTTTTGTTTAGGTTCAATAATCCAAAGACTCATTTATTTAAATTATGTCATAAGGTTTCTCATGTGACAGTTGTTGTGGTAGTTATAGTGTTTGTTTATTTGTATACTGCCTTTTTGCCAGTTTGGGAATCAAGCAGTTGCAGTGGTTAAAAGAGACATAGTTAAAATATATCCAATATAAAAATTAAAAATACTAAACAAGATCATACAAAGATTAGTAAACAACGTAGTTTTCAGCAGAATGCAACTTGCATCAGCATCAAGCTCTATGTGTATGTAGTCCATCCTTCATACATAACATTACAACCAGTTTAAAGGATGACAAACAAAACACAGACAATATAGCAGAGTCCTGCAGGATCCTGTCCCCTCAGCAGTCAGCCTCCAAAGACCTGCTGAAATAACCTACTAGTGCAATATAACAGGAAGGGTACCAGTATACACTTTTTCAGCCTAGAAGCAGCCACCGAGACGGCCCTCTCCCATCTTCCCACAAGAGACCTGTTAGGGTAGTGGGATAGAGAGAAGAGCCTTCCCAGCAGATCTCAAAGCATGGGTAGGTTTGTAAAGGATAATATAGTCCTTCAGGAAAACTAGGCTTGAATCATATAGAGTTTAAAGGTAATAACCAGCACCATGGGCCCAGAAATGAACCAGCAACTACTGGAACAGTTACAACAAGGGATTTGTGTGGTCCTTATCCTGTCCCAAGTAACTGTTTGGCTGCAACTCTTTGGACCAGTTAAAGTTTTCAAACACTCTTCAAATTTGGCTTCACATAGATGACATCACAGAAATCCAGCTGGGATATAACTCAGACATATATCATTAAGGAAAAGGTGCAACTTGTACACATACCTTAACTGTGGAAGGACAGTCCTTGTCATTGCAGAAATCTGGGTTTCCAAATTCCAGGACCCAAACTATGAACCTGCGGTTTCAAGGGGATTGTAAACTCATCTGGCATAGGTTGAATCCCTCTTCTATCTTTTGAGTGATCAAGTGCATCTCTTTCTTGTCTGAAATAAGCTGCAGTTTGTTTGCCTTCACCAATGCGATTGAATAGTGATTTCAGTAAGGAGACACTGAGGATTTATGTTTTCAATTGACTTTTTATGAACCTATATTTTATATGCTAATGTTTTTAACTGTATTTTATGTGTTGGGAGCATCGAATTGTGCCGAATGTAAACCGCCTTGAGTTGCCTTCGGGCTGAGAAAGGCGGTATATAAATACGGTAAATAAAATAACGAATAATCCTGTCTCTAACTGACAACAGGCACCAGTTTAGCACCAAGACATATTCTTTGGAATCAGATGAAAGAGAGAGATAGAGTTGAGCATTGTCAGCATATTCATGTCATTGAATTCCAACATTTCAGCTAGTTTCATATATGTGTTGAACAGCACAGGGACAAAACAGAGCCGCACAGTTTGCTTCTCCAGAAAGGAGTGGATGCACGTCTGTAAAACAGTGCTTTGGAGTCTCATCCCAGGAAGGTGGCCAGTTGGGATACTATGATGTTCTAGACCAGTGGTTCCCAACCTGTGGATCCCCAGGTGTTTTGACCAACAACTCCCAGAAATCTCATCCAGTTTACCTGCTGTTAGGATTTCTGGGAGTTGAAGGCCAAAACATCTGGGGACCCACAGGTTGACAACCACTGTTCTAGACTTAATGCAGAAAATGTTGTTGCATTTATTAATTAAATATGGTAAAGTATAGTTGTGTATGCACTTTGTAGGAGATATTATAAACTAAGGTTCTCCTGGAGTAGGGGAAAGAATGAAAGGTTGGGGGTAAGTGGTGATCGGTGGAATGTCTGAGAGGTTTTTGAAAATATGGGTTTATAACAACTGGTCAAGGATGAGAGGGGCCTTTCCAGATTATGAAACCAGATTGAAATAGATCTAGGTCGGGGGTCACCAAACTAAGGCCCATGGGCTGAATGCAGCCCTCCAAGGTAATTTACCCAGTGCCCATCCTAAACTTTAGACTTAGGGTCGCCCTAAGTCTGAAACAACTTGAAGACACACAACAACAACAATCCTAATGAACTTGACTATCTCATCAGCCAAAAGCAGGCCCACACTTCCCATTGAAATGCTGGTAAGTTTATGTTGGTTAAAATTGTTCTTCATTTTAAATATTGTATTGTTATTTCATGTATTTTGCACTACAATAAGATATGTGAAGTGTGCATAGAAATTCGTTAGTGTGGGGTTTTTTTTTCCTTCAAACTATAGTCTGGCCCCTGATCTAGGTAATCCGGTTCTGATCTAGGTAATCTGGTCCAGGAATCCCTGGAACTGGGAGGGCATCACATACTCCAGTACCTTGCCCAGAAAAGGAATGTCAAAAACTGGTCAATTGTTTTACAATACTTTGAGCTCCAGAGAGGGCTTATTCAGGAGTGGCCTTACAATGGCCTCCTTTGGGCATTCTGCCTTGTTTTAAGAAAGCATTGACTACTCCCTCTACCCTCTCAGTCAGTCTCCCTCTTGACTTTTTAAAAGGGAATAGGAGCAATCTAATACTCACCTCTTGGTTTGCGGTCAAGTCATGAAAAATGCTTGCGATTTGGTTTAGATATTTACCAACATATAGCAATATATATTTAAATTAATATATTGTTTATTTTCATTCCTATTTTATTGTATATTTCTAAACTTCCTGGAAATTCCGCTGCAGAATGATTATTTCACCAATATACATTTAAAAGCTGGGGGAGGGGAAAGGATTTACATTGCACTAAATGCACAAACTCTGACAAGGTCAGTTTTGCAAGGTCTTTTTATACTGCCCCAGCACCACTTTTTATGCTTGTCCTCTGACTCACTGGATGTTTTTAACAGCATTACTACTGGGAGAAAAGATGAAAGATGGCTAGAAAAATATTCATTCTTCGTAGTGGGTTATAGAAGTGAGTCTATACTAAACAATGCAATAAAACACAAGTTGGATATCAGACAATGTAATCAGCAGCTGCCACAAGAGTTCCTTATTGAGCATGCACAAAGAGCAAAACTTAGACAAAGGGAACAAACCCTGCCATGTTCAAAAAGCATAGAAATGAAAAAGAAAAAGCATGTTTTGAATGCAATTTTCCTGCTTCTTGGCAAGGGGTTAGACTGGATGGCCCACAAGGTCTCATCCAATTCTGTGATCTATTCATTTAGCCATCAAAATAGAAATTATAAGAACAGTGAAGGATAGTAAGAGGGGGAAAAAACAACCCTGGATGCATTTTGGAAGAAGCTTTCAAGTGGTTCCTAAAAATTTCAAATGTTTTTGTTTAGTTAATCAAGGCTTACCTGAGCTGGTTGTTCCATTTCACATAAGCATATTATGTTGAGGCAGGATATGTTGAGAAAAGCAATTAAAGCAGCTGCCTGCAACTTGTATGATCTATTTTTGGCAAGTTGTATGTATTCATGGGACTCCTATCTGTAGTTTCATTTGCCCACATCTAACAAAATATGTCCTCTACCTCCAGCCATATTATAGATCCTCCAGCACAATTCTATTGTATTCTTCAGCCAGAAGTCCTTCATTTCAATAGGATTTTGCTGTTATCTGCAGTTTCTGATATCCACACAAAGTCCCTCGCAGATATGCATGTTGTACTGTATATGATAACACCTGGCATAGGCAATTGAAACATTAATTGTTTGTTAGCTATTTAATTTATAAACAGTGTTGAAATTGTGGAGAGAGGTTTCTGCTGACCTGCAAGGTGAATTCCTGGGACTTCAGAAACTCCATGGAAGTTGACATGGAAGTAGGCAATAAATGTATGAGAAAAGAAAGAGAAATTGAAGTTTTCTCGGCACTCAGGCAGCTGAGACCAGAGCTGCTTCCTCCTGTGTTTGAAGTAATATGATACAAGTTTGTCTCAGACAATGCTCCCTTGTGCGGAACAGCTGTCTGGAGGAGTTGGCTCAGGGCTGTTGGATAGAGGCTTGTATGATACATAAACATGTTTGGCGTTATCTAGCCAAGAACGAAATGGGTTAGCTCAGGCTGAATGTTTCTTGTCAAGAACACAATTTCCTGCTACCCATAAAAACAAGTTAAAGTGGCAGTGCTTCCAAGCTGAGTATAAAATATCAGGACATGTTTCTTTACATAATTATCTACATGTTTTATTACATCATGATCTGCTATCTTACTTTTGGTAAAACTCTGTAAGCAAATTAATACCAAACATCTTTGTACCAACAGTCATGGTCAGCTCAGTCCTGTTCATGATCATTATTAAAGTTCTCCCTGGGATTATAGTATATGACTGTTATTAGATTCTTTTTTAAAAGACAGAACATCACTCCAACAGAGTGTGCTCTGAGTAGCAATGGATACACACATAGCCATTCAAAACACTGAACCTCTGATAACCAGTTCTTGAACATATTTAAGGTACACACCCAGACTTTGAGTGTAACCTCAAGAGCTCTCATCCCACCTCATAGCTGACTGAGTCCAGCAATCATGGGATGGTAGTGAAACAAGTTGTGGCCATTTATATCTCAGCACTGCCCTACTGTTTACACAGGCCCAAAATCGGAGAGTAGTTCAAATTCTAGGCCAGACTTTAGACTATTCCCAGACTTTGATTAATGTGGGGCAAGGCTATATACGGGGACACCACAAAGCTGATCCGGGCCCATTCTGCAGTAGGTAGTCAGTGTAGTGAGATCTATTTGGCATACGTATACATTACTTATCCTATACCGATAGGGAAGATTAGGAGAGATGTAATTACATTTCATTGAACTTGGTTACAGTATTCCACGTAGTCAAGTATTCTCTGCAATCAAATATTAGCAAGTAGGAGAAAGAGAGTATTTCTAACAATAATGCTAGAACTTTAATTTTGGAGTAGGTTAGTAAATAAAACTTTAAGGAAACCGACTGACATATTTCTAGTTCTTTATGACATTTTTGTAAGCTACAAATTGGTCTACCTGGGGTTTTTTGTTTACTTAAAACATTTTATCCCACATTTCAGCTCAAAGCAGTTTACAGGGATAAGATTATTCCTGCCTTAAGGCTTAGAGTTCCAGCATTCCTGTAAGCAGCCATAATGGACCTAGAAAGTGTTGGCATCTCATCATTCCAACTGTAGCAGGAAAGGTTTCATGAATCCCATATTACTCATTCATTCTGTTTCTCTTTTTCACAAGGCAATTTTACCACATGTCCAGTTATTTTAGTGGCTCCCACCCCCACCCCACCCCCCAAAAAAACCAGCCAGCATGGCTACAAATCAGATTGAGTATGCAATACAGGACACTGAAAAGTGCCAGGTTCTTCCAGTTCCCATTTGAAAACTCTGTTCAGGGCCAGAAGTAACATTAGGCAGAGGGAATTATTGTTCAAATATCATGTGCTAGATAGGAGGATGTAGTCGTAGTCTCCTGTCCATTGTCTTTTATTGGTGAAAGTGTTTCAGGAAACTTACTCTGTGTCCCATAAAAACAGCCTACAGCTATGGTTAGGAATTCTGTTCCATCACCAATATTGAAATAAGGTTCAACTGCCAGTCCTTCTGGCTTCTGTAGATGGATTGAGTAAGGAGGCTTTATTGGCTTGCCTGAATCTGTGAAATACCTTGCACTGGGTCTGGTTCTACTACTCATTTCACAAAGATTTGAAATTAGTCAAAAACTTCATCAATGAAGAAGTTAGATTATGACAGCTGTGATCTCTAATGGCAGTGCAGTTGGAAGGCACACACTTTCTTGCTGCAGGTTCCCATTTTAGTCTTTTGCCTCTCCAGGGTCTTTAACAAAAGACATGTGTCTCACATCTCAGAAAGCCAGTGTTAAGCTAGGTCAACCCATCATCTGACACGTCATAAGGCATCTTCCTATATTCCTCAAAGGACCATAGAAAATAAATTATCTCAATCAGAAGTGGAGTTATCTTAAACCAGTCACTAAACAGTTGGAAAATCAAGGCATTCTTTGATTTTATTCCCTGCCTGCGTATCTAAACTCCTATAGTTTTCAAATATTGGGCTTATTTAGTTATTTTTGTTCACTGAAGTGAGGCCAATGCTACACCAACAAACAATATATTTTTAAGTAACTAGTCCAAGCACACAAGCATGTTTTGTTCACAATTCCACCATGAGGCAGAGTTGAAAGGCTAGTTCTCTCCAGCCCTCTGCTTTTCAGAGCTTAAGATGCCTTGTGAAGTGTCAAATGGCCCAGCTCCAGCTGAGGCAGCTGTTCTGAAGGAGATGCAGTGAGAAGAGTTTTCATAACAATGGGAACCACATGAAAGCTCTCTGAGTAACTCCTCCCCACTATTGAAGGCTCTTTTCAGTTGAGTGGTTTGCACATTACGATGAATAAAGGACTAGACACACCAAGGGGTACATTTTCAGCACAGTGTGTAGAGAATTAGACACGCAACCCTTACGAACAATAATGGCAGGATGGCAGTTGTGTGTAGAATTCCCTATGCAGCTTGCTGGGTATATTCCACTTCAAATTTCCAGCCTACGATTGTTCCTTCTAATGCTCAAAGCCAGGAAGGAAATAGAAAGAGGTGATCTCTTTACATAGAGTTGGAAAATGTGATTGCGATGGCTGGAGTACAAAAAAGGAACTTCTTCAGAATTTCTGTATGTTTCTGAGGAAGAGCAGTGGCAGCCCTCCTTGTTCATGCGTCTCATATTTACACCTGAGTCATACCTAAGTCCCATAGAATCCAATCCTACATATAGAATTAGGTCTCATGGTTTTCTATTTGCCTAGATTGACTTCCAGCAGCTTAATATACAGTGCAAAATGCTAAGCTTTAATTTCTGAATTTATGATTGTATAGGCATGTCATTTTAACAGCTGATGGGTGCAGCTGAGATTATTTCTGTGTATATTGAATTCTTTATTATTCTGATAGCACATAAAAGAATAGCAGACTCTTCCACATTTGTTTTTGATTTCATTGTCACGTTTCATCTGCTTTTGAAGCTGTCCAAATGACAATTAAAGCTGTAGTCCATAATTTTATCTTCTTGAAGTGAACTTTTGAAATATTGTTTATTATATGCCACTTTTGAAGGAGGAGTGATGTATGTGGACATTTTTATTCATGGAAATCTGCATCATTTTAAAATGATCTCCGCACATATTATGGTATTATTCAACTCGTAATAACAGAGGGATCTCCAGTACTTATTTGGACACTTTCCTCATGGTTGTGCATAACACACTTTTGATATGCTTTGTTCTCTTTTTAAGTTCTAGGTAAAATTCGAACTGCAGTTGGCAGTGCACAGCTTCTCATGGCTCAGAAATTTTACCAGTTTAGAGAACTGTGTGAAGAAAATCTGGTATGTAGAACTGTAGACACAATGTTACGACTGTATTCAAATTTTAACTTAGAATCAAGGCATTCATAGCATTTTTATATAACATGAATGCAATTAACCAAGTTTTTCCCATGGGTGTTTAAAAAGATTTTAAAAACACTAACCAATATCCTATATTGGGTATTTAGCTATAAATGTGTAGCTAATTAATATCTCCTGGCCCAATCCTTACCAGTCCACCTTAACAGTCAGAAACAACATGTAGAAAAAAGGTTCAGCTCCCCATTGGGCACAAGAAGAATGGTGTTTCTGGCCTTCTCCTCCAAGAAAGCAATTTTGCCTTAAGGAATTGCAATATGGGTCACGTTCTGACTGTGACAGCCACTTTGACTTTTGTCCTTTCCTGAGTGGCAGCTGAAAAGACCTCCTTTGCTCAATGCAGCTGCTGGCTACTAAGGTGGACATGGGGAAATATTTATGATAGTGACAATAGTGCTATGCTCATGAGTACGTAATGTTATGAAATACAGAGCAGTTACATTACTGTAGGTTAAAAATCTGTAACTGCGATATAGAACGTTAACATCATCACCATTGTGATATCTAAAAGTCTGCATTTGATACCTAAAAGTAAGCAGGTCCCACGCCCAGTATTTTTCATTCCATTAGTAATAACTAATGTTTGTTATTATTTGGCTCTTTCATACTGTAGTCATGCTTTTCTACATCAGCGAAGCCTATACAATGTTTATGAAAGACACAGCAGTCTTTTCCATCAGCCTTGCTCTTATACTTTCTAAAGACTTTTCATAAATGAAAGAAAACCTCACATTTTTGCTTGTCTCAGCATTTATTTACAAGTATTTTAACATACAATATCACACAACAGTAACTTATTTGTAATTTGATTGAAGGCCAGGATGAAAGGTTAATTTACATCAAATGCTTAATATGCTACCGAGGTTGCATGCACATTGCAGCAGTTACTGAAAGAGAAAAAGGAGTTTATGCTGGGGTTAGACCTAAGGGACTGCAAAACCATTAAAATGGCATTTATTTGGCCTTGTACTTATTTGAAATTATTATTTGAGGGCACAAGCCTTTGAGAATCATACAGAACATTGGACACAAAGTTAAGTCTAGTGAAGGCTAGCCATACCCATTTCCTCCTCTATCATGTCACCTCCACACCAGGCACAATGACTCTCTGCATGTGATACATTGCTGCCAGACACATTCATGCTAACATAGGGCCATTCCCAATGTTAGTTAGTGACTTACATGTGAGTGGAGCAATGAAGCTGCCCTTGCTTTTAGTCTTGACTTTAAAGGAGGCTTCCATGGTACTGAAGTGCACTGAAAGTCTGGACCCAAACTCAAGAGTGAATTCATCCCCCCATTGACATGGGAGCCACCAGCTGCATCTAGTCATTTGCATCTCGCTGCTATCTAGGATGGCCATTTTAGCCAATTTGCAATGCAATCCTGTATTAATCTACTTAGAAGAAAGTCCTACTGAGCTCAGTCTCATTATGTTCAGTGTGACTTCCTCCTAGGTACTTGTAAAGTGTAAAGTTACAACTTTAGT